TTTTTTTTTTTCTATTCTCCTCCCTGATGTTGTTTAGGTTTGTTATTTATTTTATTCTATTTTTTACTTTTTTTTTTGCTTTTTCTCACCCTATTGATTTACGATGTGCTATTGTTCTTCTTGAATCTTATCTACTGACTTTACTGCCCCTTCCTCACGCATAAGAAGAACATAAAGAGAGAAAGAAAAATGAAAAAAATAAACTATTAGTAGTAGTAATAATTACTATTATTATGATAATATTACCAAGATGAAGAATATAACACAATACCCAAGGAATAAATAAGAAAAAAAAAACAATAAATAAAACACAGTAGAAATAAAAGAAAACACAAAGGGAGAGAATTATTATTATTATCACAATAATTATTAATAAAGACGAAAAATGGAGACATATATATTAATCGGTGAGCACGCAACACTTTCCAAAGCCAAAGAAAACAACCACAAAGAAACAGAAACATAATAAAAGAAAAAAAAACTCATCATGTATGTATATGCCTTTATATGTGGTTGTTTCAATGTGAACAATAATAATAATAATAATAATATAATATATATATATACATATATATTAATATTATATTATATTATTCATCGCCATAGAGATCCTTCTTTGTGAGGGTGTAGTACTTCTTCCTCTTTGTATTACGGGGTTGCTTCTTTTTGCTCTTATCACTACTACTCTCCTTTGTCACCTTCTTGTGTTTACTTGTTTTCTTCCCCCCTCTTCTGCCTGCTGCGGATCCTTCTTCTTCTTCACCATTATCATTATCATTATCATCATCAGATGAACCGCCGGACTTCATCTGAGATCGCTTCTCCCTCTTCTTCAATACACGCACCTTTCGGCGTTCCTCCACAACGGCGTGTCGTGTTTCTTCCACGTCCTTCACTTCACGCTCCACACGGCGCCGAAGTTCCCCGCGTGTTAACTCGCGATAAGCCGAAGGATCTGCGGCCTGTCGAAGTGCCATTTCACTCTCTGTGAACATCACACGTACGGACCGTACGGTGTTTCGACCCACAGCATAGCGTTTACAACACTCTGCCAATGCGAAGAGAATTGTATTGGTTTCCGCTGCTGATTTTTCATTTATCTCTGCCTCCATACTTTCATCCTCTTGTTGCCGTTTCCGTTTCTTTGTACCTTCTTCTTTTTTT